GATTATATAATAATATAGCTAGTGTGTTTTATAGACTATGCAAACTGTAGCTATTTAAAAAGAGGGTATGAATAAAAGACACAGAGAACTTGCTTTGAAAAGGCAAGCATCAGTCCCATAAGGAAAAGATTTGTCTGAAGGGATAGCTGTTAAAAAGGCTGGAAGATCTTGTAATGAAGCATACAAAGGAAATCAAGCCAGTCTAAAACTTCACAGAAGCTGAAAGAAAAAAATGTGGGAGGTAGGACTGCTCTTCTATTTATGGATGCTCTAATTCATCTGGTTTTAATCTTATTGGTCACGGTGACATCCTTTGAATTATCCTACTGGAGGCACTTTGAATTAACATAAATGCAAGGATTTTCTCCCTGCGGTCTCACTGAAGAAAAAAAAAAAAGACTGATGTATTGCTGTGGAAAGCTCCACAGGCAGGAAGGTGAATTTATCCTTGATGTGATAAACTGCCTTCTTAGCAACACTTAGACCTTCATGCTTTGCATGTGACAGTTGGAGTGATTAATACAAGGTCCTTCCTGGAGAAAAATGTATTGCAGGTGTATTCCAATTTCTGACTGAAATTTCCATGGACTGCTGCTGTGAAATAGATATATTGATTTAATCAAAATTTTGCATTGTTTAGGCAGAGGATCTAATTCTCCAGTGTGTTGGTAAATGGATCCCGAGTACAGGTGTTACCAATGAAATGGCTAGTAGCAAACAGTCAGAAAGAATGCTTATATTCTCGTGGGTCCAGACAGGTTGCCTGAGCAATACCTTCTCCCAATGTGGTTTAAGAGGCTGAGCTGTAATTTTTGTTCTCGGCATGCATTAGCAGCAATTGGCTTAAGAGATCCTTCACAGAATTTCACTTCCATGAGGAGTGCTGTCTGTGGCTGAAGCCTTTGGCTTCAGGAAGTTTGCAGTCTGTAATGTTTCTGTGCAGTAAGAGCTTATATGTGAGCTGAAATCTATTCAAATGGAGGAAAACCTTCAAACACGTGTTTAGTTTTAAGCACATGCTTTAATGCTCAGTGAAACTTAGAACTCAGCACATGCCCATCTGGGCAAAGTGATTTGCCATATTCAGGCATAAACTGAGGAGGAATTTAGTTTTTGTCTCCAAATGTAATTATGTGTTTGTCAGACGTCTTCTAGACCAAAAAGAAAAATTCATTAGAGCAGTTCATAGAACTGGACAATCAGATTTCTGGGCAAGTGTTATTTGGACTCTTCTTGGTGCTAAGAATGCCCTTCTACCCATTTTTTCCCAGTTTTAATGCTGCTATACCTTTCCAAGTTCAACCTTTACTTGAGAATAATCAGATAGCTTGCTGACAAGTTGTGGTCATAAAAAGCATGCAGCTCCTGTCACTAAAAGTTGAGCTTCACAGTACCCTCTGGATTTTGGAGAGCAGAACTTGTGTTAAGTGCTCGTCAGAAGAATTCCTTTCTGCCTTTGAAACTGCTGGAGTTTATGCAATTATGCAATCTCATTTCTCAAACCGGAACCTAAGTAAATTATTTTATCTGGTTGTGAAAGTGCTCACGTTTGATCAGTATGTGAAGACGCAGTGCTGCAGGGTACACAGTTACACTATCAAGTATAAGCTGTATAAAAAAGGACTTTGCTTTTTACATAGTGTATTCATTTATGTGCATAAGTGTGTACAGATATACTTAAAATGATGCTGGGCTGAAGCTCTTCCCGTGGAAGGTGTCCCTGCCCGTGGAAGGTGTCCCTGCCCATGGCAGGGGGGTTGGAACTAGATGATCTTTAAGGTCCCTTCCAACCCAAACCATTCTGTGATCCTATGATTTATATGAATCTGATCGAATTTAAATATAACACACTTTATACTTTAGTAGAAAAGGCATAATAGTAGGCATTTATTGTTTGTAGGCAAGAAATATTACTACTTTTAACAATATTTCCTTAGAGATTCATATTAATAAAATCAGGAAAATATTGTTAGTAAAATTTAAACAAAATTACAGCATTTTTCGTTAGTGATGGTATTTATACATCCTGTGATGCAATTAAGGCCTGTAACAACTTTTTGAGAAGTATTATATCTATTTTCCAGATTGAAAAATTAAGATAGAAGGGAGTCAGTTGGCAGAGTCACAGAGGGAATGCTGCAAACACCTGATCTTCATGTTTTAATCAAAAAGACCATTATATCGGCTCCTTTTCTTACAGACAAAACTAAACCTAATTTCTCCGTTGCAATATTCAGGTCTTTGTGTTCAATTCCATCCTTTAATTGCTACCCAACAGTTATCCTGGTTTTAAACTGCAAAATGTTAATGTATTCTTTATTCAATCACAAGTTGCAAGGAATATGTGACTATTGCCTGTGCTTCTGTTTCCTAATATCATGCCATCCTCCCAATAATTATCACTTTCTTAGTTTTTAGATACTTTTTCTGTTATCTTGAATTCTTAAGTCATTGTGCTGTAAAAATGGGGGCACGAGGTAGGGAGGGGCCAGGTGCTGTGAGAAGGGTCTGTACAGGATGGGGGAGGTGTTAAATTGCAATTTTTCCTGTTTTCCTCCACTTGTGGTGTCTGAAAATATGGGAGAATATTTTTTTTTGAGTCAGCAAATGGGCACAAATAAGAGGAGCAAGCACACTAATAAGTGGTAGTATCTGTCACTTCGGGACATTTCTACAAGCTGCACAATCAGTCTTTGTGCAATAAACAATTGCTACAAGCTCTTGGTCACTGTCTTGCAAGTGTCATCATCATGATTTTTTAAAAACAATTTCCAGCAATAAGGTGATTATATAGACTTCAGTTTTTTATTATATTTTATAGTATTTCCTCACTGGGATTTTCTTTATGGATGCTATAAGATGGTGCTTCCTGTGATTCCCTTCCCCGCTAATTGCCCATCAGTTACTCATTTGGTTATTTATATGGTCAATGTATATTGTATTTTTTCAGATCTCGTGAGTGACTCTTGCATACTAAATTATTTTGAACACTAACACCACTGGAGGCAAAACAGTCTGACTCTTCATGCTGTACAGTTCACCTCAGGGAAGCTTTCAGTGGAAGATCAGGATTGTGCAGCTGTATTGTCTAACACTGCTGTTGGAAAGAACCAAGCCAAATTGTTAACATTTCTTTGATTGAATTACACTCGAGTGACATTAAAAAACAGTAGCATGTATTAGAGTGAAAACAGTAGCATGTCTTAATGTGTAAACTGCTCTAGTAGCTGCGTTAAAGTAGAATAAAGGTTCTTTATTTTTCACGCTGCACGCTTTGTCCCAGCTGTTGCATGCTATTTTAATTTTCTTTTTCCTTTCCCCACCCCCCCCTTAGGAGCTCCAGACACAGTTAGAGGAATTCAGAAGAAAATCTGATCGTGAACTAAAGCAGCGTGAGAAAGAAAAAGAAGTCCTAACTGGGAAACTTCAAAACTCTTCACTTGAGGTAAGTTGGGCATAAATGTAATCCAGTAATAAAGGGCTCTTAGTTTTCCTTCTCATCTGAGAGATTCTTGATTAGATTTTAATTTCATTTGCTGTGACCGTCATTCAAGAAACAATGCAAGGTCTCTAGATAGAAATAACAGAAATCACTGTTCCTGAACATTCATGAAGACTTTTACAAGTCTATTTATTTTGATAGATTTCGCATATCACTCTTGGGAGATACACTAAGGCTTTTTGGTGAGGAGTTTGGCTATATCAGTGTTGGATGGTGTTGGTGTATATACAGGGCTAAGTGAAATCAGAATCTTCTTTACAGCTTTGTGTCTCTCTGATTTTGTGTGTGTGTGTGTGTGTGTGTGTAGGCATGTAAAAGGGTCTGCTTGCTTGCTCCCTTAAGCAAGAGAATTGAATGAATAAAAGGCTGAATATATAATTTTTCTGTTCTGCCTGCTTGGCGGTAAGGGTGGTAACTGAAGCAGATTGGAATGTGCATATATCAGTAGTTAGGTATGCCTCCTTCTGTCTTCTCAAGACCAAGAATGAAACAGAGAAAGCATTGTGACCCCAAGGTAGCTTTGAGGGTATCACATCTTAGGTGTAACCAGAGCAGGGAACAATACATAAGTCATAATGCAAACCTGCAGACATGGATTAATCTGGAAATAAATACCTGGGGTGTGTTATTATTACATTACCCATCCATAACAGCTGTAATCTATAGTCAGTTGTAGGCCAAGTGATACAAATTTTCCAGTTTAGTACATCTGCAAAAATATTTATACAGGAAGGTGTCATTATTTGAAAAGCCATAACATGTTGGATAAATAATTTTCTGCCAAAACAGAAGCAAAACCCCTACAAAGCAATTATTTACCCAGGTAAACAGTTCACCTGTAAAATTTCTGACAACTGTGAATATGTGTTTTCTCCTGCTTAGGTGTTCCCCTTTTGTGTTTTTCAGGGTTTTTTTTCAAATTCTGTCTGCTTTAAGATGTTATGTACAGAATATTTCCTTTTCTTCAGTGTGATCATGTGAATTTTTTCCCTTTGAATGTTCTAATACTTTTATCTTATGGATAAGATATGAAGCAACTGTGTTAACAGAACTGAAATTAGTGCCCTAGTGAAAAGTTCAGATGATGCTCAGTGCTGCATTTATTTTTCAACCCCAACTATATAATTGTGTTTGGTACCTTTTTCAGAACAATGAAATAATTTGTGATTGTCCATTCTGGGAGATTATGAGTGGATGCACATGTTTTCAGCATGAGAATCTGTCATCCATTTTAGGGAGGGTTTCCTACCATTCCAGGTTTTGAGGCTCCAAGATTTTATTAAGCAAAATGGGGACATTTCCAAATATACAAAATTATCTTCGGTCTAGTTTGAGAAAAAGTAACAAACAACAGGAATTGGGTAACTTACACTGCGGAACTACAGAATGACAGATAGCCACTGTTGCCCTAAGTAGGTGTCTATTCTTCCCATTGCTTTATATTTTCACTGATTCTAACCAGTTTCACCTTCAGCAAGTTCAGTGGGAGCTTGCATGACAGCAGCTCTGCAAAAGTTGAAGACCTAGATCTTTCTCAGCTGGCATTTGTGGACTCTTGAGTGACCAAAATAAGCTCTTTTTGAGCAAGATGTTGGTTCCCCTCTACTTCTAGCTTCCAGTTTCCCATGTGCCATGCCTACTGCTTGCTGCAGCATGTTCCTGCAACTGAGGTGTATTGCAGTTATTTGCTATGTAACACCTGCTTTTTCTCCCATTCATGCTGTACTAGCTGTATTAGTTAGCTGCATAGAATCATAGAATGGTTTGGGTTGGAAGGGACCTTAAAGATTATCTAGTTCCACCCCCCCTGCCATGGGCAGGGACACCTTCCACTAGACCAGGTTGCTCAAAGCCTCATCCAGCCTGGCCTTGAACACTTCCAGGGATGGGGCATCCACAACTTCTCTGGGCAACCTGTCCCAGTGCCTCACCACCCTCTCCAGGAAGAACTTCTTCCTGATACATGATCTAAACTTTGAAGTGATATTGCAGTCTGAAATACAACTACAGGCTGGATGGAGAGTGGATAGAAAGCAGCCTGGCAGTGTGTGCTGGCAGCCCAGAAAGCCAACTGTATCCTGGGCTGTATCCAGAGAATTGTGGCCAGCAGGTTGAGGGAGGGGATTGTCCCCCTCTACTCTGCTCTTGTGAGGCCCCACCTGGAGTGCTGCGTCCAGCTGTGGAGCCCTCAACATCAGAAGGATATAGACTGGTTGGAGTGACTGCAGCATGGTCTTTTCCCTTTAATTTCTCCTGTAAAACAAATTCATGCTTTCTGGTATCAAACAGTGGCATTCCAGCATTCTACCCATTTCCTAGCCTTGGAGTCTGATCTCATAGTATTGTTTATACGCATGCAGATGGTGCATTCCTCCTGACGGTCTCAAAGAAACCAAAAGGCTGATGATGTGAAGCAATTATCGTTCAGGTTTCACAGCTGGAAACAGTGAGGCAGTGAGTCATCAAATTACTTTTCTGGAAGTCACACTCTCAGGACAGAAAAATAGGAAAGAAACCTGTGTGTCCTAACTGCTAGTCCTCTCATATCATGAGACTGTGGTAAATACAAGGCGTGGTGGGAAATTGTTGCCCTTATAAACATAAATAAAGAATATAAAATAGTATGCATCCTGCCATGTGTTATGTTCACACCACGGTGGTATGAACTGATACACGAAGAAACGTTTTAGTGTATCATCTTCGAATCTAACAGTGCTCCCAGAAGGGAGGAAAAGCTCCCTCTGAAGATAAAATTTGCATTTTTCTTAGTACTCCATAAGTTACTTTCTGAACCAATTAATTGGCAGAATTGCCAGGGAAGTGAAGTAATTTCAACTTATAATACCTTCCGTCTAGAAATACGTGAATATTCAAAGCCGGTAAGCCCCCATTTGTGATACAACATTATGTTTCACTGAGGGCATGAGTCCCAGCTGGGAACCTTTGCAATGGCTCAGCCCAGAGCTTCCGCCTCAAAGGTTAGGCAATGTGCTGTTACTAATCCAGTTCTAACCTGGGTACAATTTCAGATCTAAAAATAGCTTCCTTGGCTGCATAAGGCACATTTTTGGTTGGGCTGACATAGCTAGAGCACTGTGCAGAGTAGACAGAATCATGATAATTTCATCTCTCTGGGGATGTGCTTCAAAGAGGCAGTGTTAGTGTACTACTAAGATTTTTCTGGGTAAAGGAATCAGATTCCCACCTATCTGGTGCTTTGGAAGGAAGGATGTGAGATCCTGTGTGTGTCGAATGCAAATTCATTAAGTCCTCCAGTTCCTTGCTTTCGCATTACAGGTTCTCTTCAGCTTGTGTGAAAGGGGCTACTCTGGAATTCGAAGGTACATCAACTGGCAGTGCAGGCATCACCTTGTCACGATACAGCTTGTCATGCTGGTACAGCAGCACCCAGAGCCTGGGTGGAGACCTTGTAGCCACCACCAAATAGCAGCAGTGGAGGTGTGCCCAGTGTGTTCACAGCTGTCCCTCCAGACAGGAACCGCCGTAAGTTTAGGAAGGCAGTTAGCTGTGAACTTAACTGAAGTAATTGTGAAATAGGCATTAAGACAACAGTAAAATATAATTTCATTATTTTGTTGTTACTACTTATACCATATTACCATTTTGATGTAATAGCATCATAGTACAAGTAAAACCCTGTAGCATTTGGGTGCCTTATTTTGACTCTGAACAAATTTTCAATTGTGTTGACTCTTCTATAATACATGAAAAAGGAGGTTTTAAGTCTTTTATATAAATTCATCCCCTAGCAATGCATTGAGAAACTCAGATCTTTCTACTTAGAAGACAGAGGAAGTCAAAATATTCTCTCTGATTCCGGCTTTAGATCTTGCCTTTGAGATTTCACACTTCTTACGTACAATAAATAAAAGAAGGGGAGAGGCGTAAGATAGACTTCAAGTATTCATAGTGCTTGCAAGCACAGTGAATTAAAATAATCAAAGTGGAAGTCAGGCGGGGAGCCAACTGTGATGGCATGCACAGCCTTATACTTGCCCAGTATTTCTACCCATGGGCTATCAAAGTCTGAGAGGTACTTCTTCAAAAGAATCAAGCTGTCCTTCCCAGGAGAAGGACAGTAATTGTAGTTAGAAAAGAATGAAACTTGAAAGACTTTTGAAATATTTCAAAACTTACCTGTCATTTTCTAGCAACAGTGGTTCTATTTTTTTTTACTTGGAAGACAGTGGGAGGGACAGTCAGTTGTTGTAAGAAAGGGCAAGTGCAAACATAACCCTGAAATTTGAAAATAATTCAGCACAGTCTGGAAAAATACTGTTGCCTAGAGTTTATACTGTGGATAGGTATTAGTTGCATCTGAAAGACCACTTCATGCAATTCTGTTGGATAAAAGTGAATGAAAAATAGTATTAGAGGTGCAGTTTTCTGAATAGATTTTGTTTTGCAGCAGGAAGATATTATAAAACACAAATCACCCAATGTTACTGGTTTGTTAATAGTAAAAGGAGCCAAATAGATTCTGGACTGATGTCAGTTGGTATAGTTTCATTGGTTTAAATGTTGCATTACCAGTTTAAACAAATTGAGGGTCTGGCTGTCTGTTTTGAAGTAATCATAGAATCATAGGATGATTTGAGTTGGAAGAGACCTTAAAAGATCATCTAGTTCCAACCCCCCTGCCATGG